TGGAGGAAGTATCAAGCGGGAGCCTCGTCTGTGAGTGAATTGTGAGGAAGTCTTAGGCGGGAGCCCCCTCCCTATTGGGCCCGCGGATCATGTTATTAATCCGAGCGGGTCATCGGATTCCTGTAGCTGTCGTCACTTTTGGGATCCTCAGGTTTGAATTTGGAGGAAGTATCAAGCGGGAGCCTCGTCTGTGAGTGAATTGTGAGGAAGTCTGAAGCGGGAGCCCCCTCCCTATGGGGCCCGCAGATCATGTTACTAATCCAAGCGGGACATCGAATTCCTGTAACTGACGTCATTTTTGGGTTCCTCAGGTTTGAATTTGGAGGAAGTATCAGGCGGGAGCCTCGTTTGTCAGCGAATTGCGAGCAAGTCTCAGGCGGGAGCCCTCTCCCTATGGGGCACGCAGATCATGCTATTAATCCGAGCGGGTCATCGGATTCCTGTAACTGTGATTATGTTTGGGCTCCTCAGGTTTGAATTTGGAGGAAGTATCAAGCGGGACCCTCGTCTGTGAGTGAATTGTGAGGACGCGTCAGGCGGGAGCCTTTTTATGGGTCCCGCAGCTCACGTGGTTCCTCCGGGTCATCCTCCGGCGCGCGCTTCCTCTGGGTCGTCCTCCGGCGCGTATCGGCTGGGACGCACGTCGTGCGCTTCCTCTGGGTCGTGTTCCGCACGAGGACGAGGAGGAGGAGGATTGCCAGGAAAAGGAGGAGGGATGATGCAGGACGAGACAGGAAAGCAGGAAGAGGAAGAGGCTGAGGGGAGGAAGGACGAGGAGGAAAAGGAGGAGGAGGAATGCCCGAGGAGGCCCCAGTAGGTCCCGGAAGGCCCAGAAGGCTCCAGGAGGCCCCAAGAGGCCCCAGGAGGCCCCAGGAGGGGGCAGGAGGCCTAAGGAGGAGAGGGAGGAGGAGGAGGGGGAGGAGGAGGAGGAGGAGGAGGAGGAGGAGGAGGAGGAGGAGGAGGAGGAGGAGGAAGGGGGGGAGGGAAACGAGGGAGACGAGCAGGAGGAGGAGAGCAGGAGGCAGGGAGGGAGCAGGGGGGGCAGGGGGAATGGGGGGGAGGAAGCATAACGAGGGGGAGGGGGAGGAGGTGGAGGAGGCAAGAAAGGAGGAAGAGGCAGGGGTTGAGGCAGGAGGAGGAGCAGACAGGAGGAGAACGAGGAGGCAAGAGTAGGTGGGAGAAGGGAAGGGGCAGGAGGATACCCCCATGCAAGCGAAAGAGATTCTCATGTGGGGTCCTTCCGTCGGAGTAATTTTGTACTGATGATGGGTCTCCCATTTCCGAATTTTATGAAATTGTTGACGCTTCGCGAATCCCCATCAGCCCATCCAGAAACGATGCCCAGAGGAATTGCTCGATCAGGGAAGTTGGCAGCGCACAGGGGAAACCATTATGAGACATCTTGGGATGTCTTGAGCCATCTTGGAGGTCATTCTGTGCTCTCTCAGGCGCTCTTGGAGTCATCTGAATCAGTGCCCCCCCCAAAAGGCCAACATGTGGCTAAAACTTAAGTGGAATCAGTGGTGTGGCATTCTCGCCGAGGCCTCTTGGAGCATCTTGGGTGCCTCTGGGGGGTCTCTAGGGCCTCTTGGGGGTCTCTTGGGGGCGTCCTGGGTGCCTTTTGGGGGCCTCGTGGGGCTTCCTGGCCACCTCTTGGGGCCTTCTTGGGGCACCCTTGGGGGCCATCTTTGGGCCATCTTGGGTGAGATCGATCACAGGAAGGGGGGTGTTCAATTAGCGCCCCCCCCCCCCCCCCAGGAGGCCACAAAGGGGCACAAACCATGGTAGAACGAATGATTTTGGCTTCCTCGCCGAGGCCTTATTTGGACGCCCTGACACCTCGCGACCCCCCCCCGCCCAGGTCCAGGGGAGGGGTAAGGGGAGGGGTAACCCCCCCCGAAGGAGAAGAAGGAGGGGTGGAAGCGAAAACGCTTTAAACCACCGACGCCCAGAGGGCTGGTGGGATTTGGAAACGCCACGACATTAGCCTGACGAAAGATCCAACCATCTGCGGTTGCGAGTGCCGCATTGTGGGCACCGCTTTCGAAGGAGCTCCTTATGGGGCCACGACCCGCGTGAGGAGCGCGCCGAATTGAGCGCGGTGGTGCCATGCGAACCCTCCCAGTGGAGCCTTCGACAGGGTATTTTTGGGGCCGCGGGACGCAGGAGAGGGTGTGCCGAATTGGGCACGGTGGTGCTATGCGAACCTTCCCACTGGAGTCTTCGGCGGAACTCCCGATTGGGTGCGGCGAAGACATGGTGGACTTGCATGCGAACCCTGCCACTGGGGCTTTCGGTGGAGCCTCTGGAGCGGAACTGCATGCGAACCCTGCCGCCGGGCCTTCGGTAGAGCTCCCTATGGGGCCACGAATCGTGTGAGGGGTGCGCCGACATGAGGGTGGAACTGCATGCGAGCCCTGCCGTTGGGGCTTCCCTGTGGGGCCACGAACCGTGTGAGGGGTGCGCCGAAATGAGGGTAGAACTGCATGCGAACCCTGCCACTGGGGCTTTCGATGGAGCTCCCTATGGGGCCACGAACCGTGTGAAGGGTGCGCGGAAATCAGGGTGGAACTGCATGCGAACCCCACCACTGAGAATTTCGGTGGATGTCCCTATGGGGCCACGAACCGTGTGAGGGATCGCCGAAATGAGGGCGGAACTGCATGCGAACCTTGCCACTGGGGCCTTCGGTGGAGCCACCTATGGGGCCACGAACCGTGTGAGAGCGGCACCGACATGGGGGCGGAACTGCATGCGAACCCTGCCCGTGAGACCTGCCCCTATGGGGCCACGAACCCTGAAGGGTGCGCCGAAATGAATGTAAAACTGCGTGCGTACTCTGCCACTGAGGCATTCGGTGGAGCTCCCTATGGGGGGGGCCACGGACCGTGTGAGGGGTGCGCCGACATGAGGGTGGAACTGCATGCGAGCCCTGCCACTGCGGCCTTCGGTGGAGCTCCCTATGGGGCCAAGAACCGTGTGAGGGGTGCGCCGAAATGAGGGTGGAACTGCATGCGAGCCCTGCCAGTGGGGCCTTCGATGGAGTTCCCTATGGGGCCACGAACCGTGCGATGGGTGCGCGGAAATGAAGGTAGAACTGTGCCTCCCCTCGAAATCCTATGCCTATGCCTACGCCTATCAACCACCTCTGAGCGCTCCGATGCCTATGCTTATGCCCATGTTTCCAATGTTTGCTTGCGTGCTTGCTTGCTTGTTAGCGCGCTTGCTTGCTTGCGCGCTTGCGCGCTTGCACGCTTGCACGCTTGCACGCTTGCTTGCTTGCTTGCGCGCTTGCTTACACGCTTGTGCGCTTGCTTGTACGCTTGCTTGCTTGCCGAGTTGGCGGATTCCAAACGTGCTTGATCGTTCTGATTATTGGATTTGAATCGTCTAATATATTTGGAGTCAACGCTGTCTTATATATATATATATATATATAGATGAATTGTTGCTGTTGTCCATGCTGTTGCGGTTGTTGCTGCTGTTGGTGTTTGTGCTGTTGTTGTTGTTGTTGCTGATGTTGTTGTTGTTGAACATTATTACTTCTAAAGAATAATTATTGTTGGGGCCCCTGGTGCACGCCCCCCCCGCCGCGCCTAGGCCGCAGCCTCATTTTCATTATTTTCGTGAGGAAGTCTCAGGCAAAACGGGTTGGTCCAGATCCGGTTGTGTTGTTACGATCGGTTTTCCCTTGCAAAAGATAAGCTAAAGTGGACATTTCTTGTTCTAACATAACCAAGCTTCAAGAATCCCTTGCAAAAAATAAGGTAAAGTGGACATTCGCGCGCGCAAGACGAAATCCTTCCAAAACCTTAGTTTTCGTAGCGATCTTAACATACAAACATCAAAAAACCAATGGTTTTTCAAAACAAAATTGTCAAAATTTCATCCCGCGCGCTCTTGCGGATTCGCAGGAAACCCAACACTTTTTAATCATTTCTGTCAAACGGGCTTTTGCGAGCAACTTTTTCGAACTTCTGCAACAACGGTTGCGCACCTGCCAGGGCCATCATCCCTGTCAAATAATACCATGCGGGACACATTCGTTTTTTCTTCGCGCGCGCACGCCGTCGTCGTCGGCCGCGGGGCCCTGAATAGTAGCCACGGTCGTCCGCATGCCACGAAGTGAAGTGTCCGAACGTCATAGGGCGGGAAGCTGGGTGTGGGTGGTGGCGAAGAGTCGTTTGGAAATTTGGTAGAGCTTGAACCGGCCCCCCCACAAAGTGGGGGTATTGCCCGCCTCCTATGAAAACCCTGGCACTGGTGAGAACGGTGTGTCCCCACGTGCTAGTAATTGTTGTTGTTGTTGTTGTTGTTGTTGGTGTTGGTGTTGGTGTTGGTGTTGGTGTTGGTGTTGGTGTTGATGTTGTCGTTGTTGTTCTGGTTATGGGGTTGTTCGTATTGTGTTGTCTCAGTACTATGCTTACATACACCTATATAAATATATAAGGTTCGGGTCAGAGGGGACAGACGTATTGTATTGTGTAGTTGTTGAGCAGTCGGGACATAGGATTGGTGGAAGAGGAGGGTGGCGCAGTGCAGCCACGGCCCTTGCAGTTGAGAGCTATACACCGTCTGGACCGCAAACCCTCGCACGCCCCGTCTTCATCCTCACTGCTGGTCCTTGTTCTCACCTTTGGCGTTTGGCTGTCGTGGGGGCGCGGCCCGACCAGCTAATCGGACGGTGCATGGAATCTCGGGCGGATCCTGTGGACACGGACTTGAGGAGTGGACCACGGACGTACGTATTCTCGCCCATGACCCCACAAGCGCATGAGTTCCGATGCGCTGGGCGGGAACTCAAGATCCACAGCTCGCCAGGCGCATTCGTGATTCCATGCAGCAAGCATTCGAGGCAGGGGAGGTTTGGGAAAAGGCCCTGCTCGTCTTGGGTGGGGGGGGACCTTCACGGCTCGGCTCGGCTCGGTGAGATTGCAATGGTCTCGAAATTTCGAGAAGCGTCTGGGGCCTCTGCGCAGTTCTTGTCTGGAGTCCGCGAGGTGCTCAATTCCATGAGGCTCAAGGCGTTGATGGGCACGCAGCGCGAGATTATGCATTACCTCGCAGAGTTCCAGCCGAGCGCCCGCACGGACTTCAAACCCTACCTGCGTTCGGTCTTGGGGTACATGGGCAAACCAAAACGTCCGATTCGCTTTGAGTTCGGAGTTTGGACGCCACGATCCCGTCTCGAGTCTCGGTCCTCTCGCAGATCGAGCCGGCGCGGAGCATCAAGTTCAAGTGAGGACGTTCTACGACTATGGTAAGGGCCAAACTTGCGCAGGATGATCTGCGTGGCTTCGAGGTTGTGCCGTTGCATGGTTGTACCGTTAATATTGGAGGTCGCAATTTTGCGTGAACTCACAGGGCGGTCCGAAGGTTGTCGGATGTCCGAATGGAGACACATTGCTCGAGGTCCTCAGGGGTGGCAAGGACAAAGCAACAAGTCCAAAGTTAAATTGTTTTGGCCCTCTCGGGCGCCTCCTGGGGAGACCCTTTGGTGAGGACTTATGGGGGCTTGTTGGATTCCTGTCCAGGCTCGTGGAGCGTTTTTGTTCGGGGGGGGGTGCCATCAGAGGAGATCGCCCTGCCGTCTTGACATAAGGGTGATGGCCAGAATGCGGCCATAGGCTCGTCTAGTGGGCGGCTTCGTGGTCTCTGGTTGTTGTCCTTGGGCTTGGGGGTCTGTCAACAGCCAAATTCCAGACGCTCCGCGTCACCCCACCAGCACATTCAGAAACGATGCCTCAGCGAATTGCCCTGATCAGGCATGCGGGGGAGCACGAAGTGGAACAACGGCTAGGACGCCGTCATACCCCAAGAAGAGGGGGATGGAGGAGGGTCCAGGGGAGGAAGAGGAGGAGGAGGAGGAGGAGGAGGAGGAGGAGAAGGGATGAGGGAGGAGGGAGGATGAGCATTAGGATGATGCTGATGATGATGATGATGAGGAGGAGGAGGAGGAAGTTTGGGAGAAGTGAATAGCGGTGGTATTGCACATGGGTCGTATTGGATCGTTTTGTTCAAGACACGTTTTCAATTTTTAAATGTGATATTGTTATCAGATCGCTTGGGCGGCCTGCGAATGTACGTAAAGGAGGAGGGGGAGGAGGAGGAGGAGGAGGAGGAGGAGGAAGAGGGGAACAAGGAAGAAAAGATTACAACCAGCAGAAAAAGAGGAGGAGGAGACAGGAATTGGGAGGAGGAACAGGAGGAGGGGGAGGATGAGAGACACGCGCATTGGCCGTGCGTTCTCCCAACTATCCCATCAAGGCGCCACCGTCTTTGAAATCCTGGTTATGACCTCTTCGGGGAACTCTGTGACTGTGGACAACCTTGCGATGTCATATCACATCCGTTTTGCTGCGACTGGAGAGCTCAAGAGGGAGAGCAACGCTGTTGGTTTCATATGTAGCACATTATGTTCTCCATTTTGGGTTTTGTGTGGCTCTCGCTCACATCAGGGCCAGCGCAGTAGTTGGCATGCCTTCTTGTGGAGATGGCCAGGTTTCGGGCCAGAAGGGCGCGAAGGCCCAGTTCCGCGAGATGGATGTGAAACGAGACGCCGAGCATCTCAGGATTCGCGCGAAAGGGGGTTGCCAAAATGAGTTCAGGAGGGCCATCTTCAAATGTACCAATAACCCCACGATCCTGGAGCAAATGAAAGAGTTCTTGGGGGGGCATCGGGCACCCCGTCGTCCTCGGGAAGAGCAACACGAAGAAGGATATCAAGGCCGAGGAGTCTGCGGCGGCATCTTCTGCTGGTGAACTTTCTCTTTTGTTTACCCCTGGCGGTCCCAATGGTGGAGGTGCTGCTGCTGGCGAAACTACTGCGGAAGGGGCGAGAGTGAGGACCACGGGCGCTGGTATCGATGATTCGAACCATGCGAATTGGTTGCCGCATCGTTACACTAGGTTCGAAAATTCTTCGGTTCCGATCATGGTCGGGCTCTTGGGTCACTGAGCCTGTGGCCTTCTCCGCGCTGGCCTTGAATGTGGCCACCAGCAAGGGGAGGGTCGACGAGAAACAGAGTCTGTTGTCGGACCACTTCGCGTCCGTCACTGGCCAGGGCAGGGGATTCAAATTGGCGGGGTCGCTTCGCCACATCCCGACCCCCAAGAAGTGCCGCAAGTATCCTAGCGTCACCGTGGGCCGTCGTGGACGCGGTCCTCAGGTTCTTGGGAATTGGAGTGCCAGGGGAGACGGCTGCTTCGAGATGGAGATGATCAGCGGAAGCCTCGCCGCGTGGGACAATATCACCAGGGTTGAGCACGCGGTGACCCCAGAGTCGAGGCTCAAACACGCTGGCGGCGAGGTCATGCCCATCGAGGCCGTCGACATCGACATCAATTGCTGCAAGACGAAGGCGAACATCGCATCGGCCCGCTGTGTAAAGAACGTGCCACTCGCCTCCCGGGGGAGCTTCGGCCGCGACCTGATCGCGGAGCAGTTCATGGTGAACCTTGCACCTGCCGGAACTTCCCCGCGCAAGAAGCCGAGGGCCATCGTCGTCGTCGCCGCGAGCATAGCGCTGAAGCCGAACGATCGCACGATGGTCGAGGGCACCATGTCCGCGGCTTCGCCGACGGGGGCGCCGATCCGCAGCGTGGAGGCTCAGCGCGCGCCGCCTGGTCCTCCTTCGATGGCGGCTTCGTCGCACCTCGATGCCAGCCCAGACGGTGCTTCGTGCGCCCGCGCGGCGACGGCAGCTCGGCGGTCGACGGGCGCGTCGAGGCGCGGCTCGCGGATGTCATGGGGGGGGGGGGGGGGGGCGCCGCGCGCTGACCCAGTTCGCCGCGCGCGACTCGGCATCGAGATATATGTTGGCGCGCGTTTCTGTTCCCGGTGAAGGTGGGCATCAGGTCCGAGTGCGAGGCGGGGCCGGGCGTCGGACGAACGAGCGCAGCGTCGGAGCTGAAGTGATGCAATGGGGCGCGTCCAGGGGAATTTTCGGAGGAGCGCGTCTGTTCTCGAACCTCTGGCAATTGTCGGGGCGGCGTTTTTCACGGCGCGCAGGGCCAGCTACGTTTACTTTCGATGCGTCTGGAATCAAAAGCTCGATGAACATGCGAGCGATGAAAACTCAGGGGCCACTGCGTTTGCGATCGCACCGTCGTCGGATGTGCTAAGTGTCAAACATGTTTCAAGATGGCATCTAGATGTCAACGCCCCGATGCCAACAGCCTTTTTCTTGGGACCGATCCGCTGCGATTTCTGGTTGGGTTGTCGCTCATTGCCATCTCCGTGTTGTTGGGTCTTCTGGGGGGGGGGGGGGGGGCGCGCGGCGGCTTCAGTCCAAGTGTCGACGCCTTCGGGGTCGCTCTCATTGGAGCCGCCGTTGTTCGGAGCCGTGCTCAGTGAGAAGCGTTTCGACTCAGGGGTCGTTTGGATCGCGTGGATGGTTTGAGTCGAGGTTCCTGTCTCTGGTGTTTTCCTGGTGATTTGTAATGCGGCAGCGGCAGTGCCGCAACCGACGGCGTTGGCTCTGCACTAAGCCATTTGGCTCAGATTCCCTTGCCTCCCTCCTGGGGCCCAGGGGCGGCCTTCGAACGGGCGACTGCGTCGACTGACGGCTGCAGGGTGTCGGGCGACGCGGCCACCCACGCGCAGTTGAAGGGCCAGCGTCCATCTTCGCAGCAAAACGACATCTTCATGGCTTGGTTGGGCTCGTGATCGAGATCAATCTGGCGAACGTGGCCATCGCCGCCGTCGGCGAGAAGTCCAGCGCCGGCGTCGGCAAGTGGATCTACAACAACAAGCCGAGGAAAGCCTAGTATTTCGAGGCAATCAACTGCGAGCGCGGCCATTGCATTATCGAGGACAGTTCTCCCTGGGAGGCGACGCGCTGCGACGGCGACTCGCGCGCGATGCCAGCCTGCGTCAGACGCGAGTGCCAGGTCGCAACGCTCGGCTTGCTCGCGCTGTTGGCCGGCAGTTGGATGGCGAAGAGGTCGGGGGTTGGCGGGGCTCGAGCCGGCAAAGTGTTGAACAATTCCTGGACTTGCGCACCGGCTCGGACAGTGTGGGCGCGACGGTGCTCGCGAGCAACCTCCATTGTGCTCGCGCTGCTTGAGCCGATGGGTCGCGCAAGCTCTTCTCGGAGGGCGTCGGCGACATGCGCGCGCTGGCAGGGGGCCCATGGGGGCGCGGGCGGCCCCGGCGGGATGGGCCGCGGTTCCACCTCCGGGCGGGGGGGGGGGGGGGGCAATCTCGAAGGCAAAGGCTCAGGAAGTGGAATTAAAGAAGGGGGGGGCGCGAGGGCGGGCCCCGGAGGAGGGGGGGGGGGGCGGAGGGAAGGGGGGGGGGGAGGGGGGCGGGGGGCCGGGTGCGTGGGGGTGGGGGCCCGGAGGAGGGCGAGGAGGAGGAGGGGGGACTGGTGGGTGGGGAGAGAGGCAGTGGTAGTAGTCGTTGCTGCTGTTATGGTTGTAGGTGGCCATGTCCCTTCTCCATCTTCCTCCTCCTGTGCCTCGCCCCCCCCCCCTCTTCCTCTCGCTCCTCCTCCTCCCCCCCTCCTCCCTCCTCCTCCTCCTCCTCCTCCTCCTCCTCCTCGCCCTCCTCGCCCTCCTTCTCCCTCGTCGTTCTTCTTTGGGCCAGCGTGGTCTCCGCCCTCGCCGTCCTCCTCCAGGGCGCCTTCGTGCAGCTGCTCCAACGCAGCTTCAACAGCTCTCACCTCTCCGCGAGCGCCCGAGAGGTGCACATTTACCCTTTGCGGGATCGAATGCGCCTTCCCACGTCGTGTCGCATGCCATTTGCATGTATGTATACGGTTGTATCCATGCGCGCGTACATGTACGTTGTGTGTATATGTTTTGTGTCTATGTGCCGCGCAGGTGATTGCCGCGCATGTCCACTGCGTCCCGTGCTTGCGCCTTTCGGTGGTTGGTGGCATCGTGACGTTGTCGGTGCAATTCAACTGCATGAGTGCAATTCGCGCGCTCGCGCCGTGCCAAGTATACGAGTTGTGGTGTCATGTAATTCATGTGCAAGTGTGCAATCAGAGATGCAGGGTGGCTACACTGCATGGTTACCCCAATAGGCGTGCAGTCTTTTGTGCTTCAACATCTATGGATATTTATATATGTTGTCGTAAACTGCTGTCGCGTAAAATTGAATGAAAGG